CCAGGTACTGCCTAGGGGTTCGTTGGTAGAAAGGTCTTACTGCTAAAAGGTTTGAAAACCATCACTCTAGACTTCTTTTTAAAAAAAATTTTTTTTTAATGTTTTTATTTATTTTTGAGACAGAGAGAGACAGAGCATGAGCAGGGGAGGGGCAGAGAGAGAGGGAGACACAGAATCTGAAGCAGGCTCCAGGCTCTGAGCTTTCAGCACAGAGCCTGATGCGGGGCTCGAACTCACGGACCGCGAGATCATGACCTGAGCCGAAGTCGTCTGCTCAACCATCTGAGCCACCCAGGCACCCCTCTAGACTTCTTTTAAAAAGTTGTGATAGCACATGCATAGCATAAAATTTACCATCTTAAGCTTTTTTAAGTGTCTAGTTCCGGAGTGTTAAGTATATTCACGTGGGTGTGCGACCATTGCCACCATCCACCTCCAGAGCTTCTTCGTCTTAGTTCTTGCAAAACAAAACTCTACACGCCTTCAACAGCTCCCCAAACTCCCCACCCCTGAGTCTCCGCTGTCGACTTTTTAAAGGCTTCAGTTACAGAATACAATTATCCGTGTTTGTTGAAAGATACTGCATAAATATACAAAGATTTTCTGTATGGTAATTCAAACTTTCTGAACTCAGAGGAAGGAACAGTCATTCAGCTTGCGATGCAGGTGTGCGGAGTTCTTTTAGACTCTGAAACATCAAATGCATGTATTCATGCTTTTGTTTTCACTAACAAGTCAGCACCCTGAAGCATCAGATAAAGAACCCAGCAGGTTGGATGAACCTCAGAGCCCGACCTCTCTTTTCATGATATTGTTGTAAACCTCATATTTGTTTTCTACTTAATAGGGGTACACAGATCTAAAAGAAAGGAATAGGACTAAATCTATGTCCCTCTAACAGTCTGAACACAAACAGGACAGGATCAATAGGGCTGATCCGGGGCTCCATCTGGCTCCTTCTGTATTGTTGCCCTGACAACCCCGAGGTTTTTTTGTTTTGTTTTGTGTGTGTGTGTGTGTGTGTGTGTGTG